AGTGTAGAAGTGGGGGAACCAGTCAGGGATGCTTACCACCGCCCAGGTGGGCAGCGAAGGTGGCTTAAAGCGGTAGCAGCGAGGTGAGCAGTAGACGTGTTTTGTGAAACGGTCTGGAGGTAGGTCCCACAGGGCTTGCCAATGGAGTGGATGTGGGAGGTGAGAGAGGGGGAAGAATGAAAAACAACTCCCAGCTTCCTGTTTATCAGGTTCGCTGCTGTTTACCAACGGGGAAATCTGGGGAGAAAGAGGTTCTGGGTAGGGATCACGAGTTTGGTTTTAGGGGCAGGAAATTGAAGGAGTCACTCTTGGCTGTCTCGGCTGTCTTGACGAGGGTGGGGCTTGAGTGGCTGGGGGCCCAGTCGAGGCTGGCTGTGACTTCGTGGTGGCTCTGTCCCAGGTAGCCGGAGGATTCCCCTGCAGAGCTCAGCAGAAAGGGGCGGAGGGATGGCAGGGTGGCTGAGATGTGGAGGCAAGGCCAGCATGGAAGTCATTACCCAGTGGTCAAAATCAAAATGTCAGGAATCTGAATTAGGAGGAAGAGAGCAGGAGGTTGGGAACAAAAGAAGATTCTGGTGGGCATCTGGGGGGTCTAGGAGTCTGGGGTCTTAGAGTCCACGATCTCAGGGACGGAGCACTTTGGGTGAGGCCAAGGGGGCGGGGCCATGTGAGTGGGAGGCTGGGTGGAGGAGAGCACGGGAGGGTGTTGGGAGCGGCAGGAGAGTGAGGTCCCCAAAGTGATGCTGGGGCCCCCGATGGAGAAGCGGACCTTGAGACGGGAGTCAATGTCCTGTGTGAGCGAAGAAGTCACCAAGGGCTGCTTGGCAGGTCCCCAAGGTGAGAAGAGGAGGGAGGTATCAGCAGGACGGCAAAGCGAAGGCCACAGTGAAAGGATGCGTGAGGGAAAGGCGCTCACTCCTCCTGTGGCAGAGTGAGTGGTTTCCCAGACCCTGCCAGGTGAGGGCTGCTCTGTCCCAGGTGTGTGTTAGGGGAGCCCAAGCTCCTTCCATCGCACAAGGTGGAGAATCGGGCAGGGAGTGTTCATGGTGGAGCGGGTTCCCAGCTGACACAGCGGGACCTCCGGAAGGGACACTGTGGAGGAAAGGGGAAGAGCCGCGCGGCACTCCTGTGAATGACCCCCTGACCCTCTCCAACCGGGGCTCCCCACCTCCTCAGTCTCTCCCTCTCAAATTCAGCCTTCATACGAGCTCCCAGGCACTCCTTCTAAAGTACCACTCCAGTCCCGCCTCTCTCCCACCTCAGAATCCCCAAGGGGTTGCCCACTGCCCTCCAGGTAAAGTCCCTGCTCTTTAGCTTGGTATCCGAGGCCCTTCCAGATGGATCTCATCTGCTGCCCTCCTCCTGGCCACTCTCATCCTAAACCCCCACAAACCAGTGCTACTTGTAGCCTCTGGGACTTTGCACATGCCATTCCCACTGCCTGGCAGGCCTTTGCCTCATCTCACGTGCCTGGAAAATGCCAGCACATCTTTCAGGCATCTCCTCCTAGGAGAAGCTTCTCTGACTCCCTCAAGGAGCTGTGATCGCCCTTTTCTTTGTGCCATCACTTGCCTCATCTACCTGCCTCTCCCACTAGACCAGGAGCTCCTTAGGAAAACAGACAGTGCGATACTCAATTCTGTGTGCTCCATTCCCAACCTGATACCTGGGATGCAAGAGCACTCAGTGACTATGTAATAAATAAAAGGATGACATTATAGGAAATTATAAGAGCCAGCATAGTGAGGACTCACTGTCATCCCTGGCACCGCATTAAGCTCTCTTTAAATGCACCACCTATGTCATCCTCCTACGGACTGTGGTGGGGTAGGCATGGTTACTGATATCCACTTCACAGATGAAGGAACAGGCGAAGTGACTTGCCGAGGACATGGTGTTTGTCAGTGGGAGAGATGGATTTTGAACTCAGAACTCAGGGCTAGTTCCAGTGTCCATGCACATACCCACATCCTCTGTTGCCTCCATGAAGGAGAGAACCACAAGATCTCAGAGAACAGGAGGGCCAGGGAGACTGAGGTCTGCAGGGGCGTCTGTGAGAAATTGACAACAAAGAAGTCAGCTTTTCTTTGAGTAACACAAATGCTGTTGGTTGTCTACCCGAATGCCCATTCCACCCACCTTCGGTGCTTTCCAGAGTTCTCCGCTTGCCTACGAACGCCCTTGGCCACACAATGCAGGTGCACCCCGACTTGTCTCAGTTGATGTCAATGGCATCATCTCTCTTGTCTGTGATTGGTTCATTGGTGGGTATGTGATCCAGTTAGCGCCCTAAAATTTCTTTTTAAATTGTGGTAAAATGTACATAATACAACATTTACCACTTGAACCATTTAAAAAGAGACAGCTGAACTTGCAGGATTTGGTTGGTGAAGATGTAGTGCCTGGAGCTTCTGCAGCCATCTTGGGATCATGAGGATAGCAGCCAACACATTGAGGTCAAGAGAATGAAAATTTATAAGAAAGAATCTGATATGATTGCAGAGCTACTGGATCACCCAACCTCAGTCCTTCCTGATACATGACCTAATAAACCACCCTGCTACCTAAGCTATTTTGAGTGGGTCCTCTGTTACTTTAGCTGGAAGTATATTGATACAGTGGCAGTGCAGGTGGTAGAAGAGTTCTTGCCTGGAAAAGGATGACACAAACTATATAAACTTCAACAATCTTTAGGAGCTACTGCCCTGGTCCGGTCCACTGGCCTTTGGTCTTCGAATGAGAATGATGACCTTGGCCTGGGTGAGTATTGATAGCGACCTGGGACATCATCTGAAAGTACAGTCTGGCAGCCTTGGGGTTCAGTTCGCCAAACATCAAATACGTATGCCCATGGTGCTGGGACCATGGGGATGAATCAGACACAATCCTTGCCCTTCAGGGGTGCACGGTGTAATGGGAGAGACGATCACAGGCCAGTGATGAGTGAGGTACAGTCTGTATCAGGTCCGGAGGCTGATGGGCGAGGTGGCCAGGTAAAACTCCATGTAGGCATTTCACAGGATGACATGAGAAGGGTCAGAGAAAAAAAGCATTCCTGGGCAGAATGAACAGCACTTGCAAACTCAGGGCAAAACGGTTCTCGGGGAAATTACAAGTCGTTTAGCATAATAGGAACTAGACTAGCCACTTTCAGGTCATGTGTCTCTGAGCAAATTACTTGACCTTTCTGAGGCTCAGAATTCACATTTATAAGAAAAAGAGAAAAAGAAAAGGAAAACAAAGTGGTTGCAAAATTAGGTAACAGAATGCATATACACAAGCACAGTGCTTGGCGTATATTAGATGCACAAGAAATCCTCTGTGTTATTCATCCACTGCTGTCACATGGTTCTAATTCCTTATCTCCTCTGACCCAGGTGGCTTGCTTCCCTTTCGCACTCATTCCTGAGCCTAGTGGTGAGCACTGCCTGGCCCCTGCCCCCCCCCCCCCCACACACACACACCCGAACTCCCACAGACTTTTCCTCGGGCTAGAAACCCGAGCCCACTGACTGGCCTGAGACAGCTTCTAGGGCTGGGTGGTTTGTGTTATTCCTTCTCTTGTCTTCTCTCTCCCTTTTTTCCTCTAAATGCAACAAAATAAAACCAAACAAAAAGCCCAATGCCTGGCGTGGCTTGTCAGGGAGTTATGCAAGTGTGTAAAAAAATAAAATAAAATAAACATTGAGTTTTCAGCATTTGGGGCTGTTTGATTAGGCAGGGAGCAGAGCCAAAGGCCGGTGAGACTTGGGGAAGGCTCAGGGCAGAGGGGACAGGGGAGGAGCTGGAGAGGGGGCCGGAGGGGGCCCAGGACCAGCTCGGAAGTGGCCGTTGGCCTCCTGCAGACTTGGGAGTGCTCCGGCTGACTGAGCCCAGGCGCAGGGCATTCGGGACGCAACTGCTCCACTTTCCCTGGCCATCCACCATCCCTGTTCCCCGGCCATCAGGACTCACCAGGGGTCACTCCACCCTTCCCCAGTCACGGCAAAAGACTCTGTGCTCTTTTCTCAATAGTCAGGGCCGCCCCCTCCTCTCCTGAGAAGGAGATTGAGTCCACAGCCTGTCTTCATTACCCACCCACCCACCCCCATCAGTATAGTTTTTCAATGCTCTAACTTAACTCCTGCTAAGTACGGTTTTTGCCCATTTTCCTTCATCCCGTCTACAATTAAGCTGGAAAACGGCTGGGTGCCACTGGCAGAGTGAGTCTCCCTGCCTCCCTTCCTCAGGCTGGACCCAGACATCATCATCATCATCACCCGGGCCACTGCAGGTGTCTGTGGCCCTTCGGGACGCATTCCACAAACATTTATAGAGCCCCCAGCATTTACCAGACAGTTGAATCCTTTATTTCACGGAGCCCTCAGAACAGACGACAGCCCTGAGGCTCAGAGAGGTTGAGTAACTTCAGCACGACCACACAGCTGCTAAGTGATGGAGAAGGGGTTTGAATCTAGGTTTTACTTCAAAGTCTCCGTCACTCTCCTACACCAGCTCCGTGTGGAAGCTCCCTCACCTGGGTTCTAGGGTCTCGGAGCCTCTTGTTTCCTCTGAACTGGGAGGATGCTCTGGAGGCCTGACCTGGAGATGAGGAGGGCGTGGCCGGGACAGCAGACCCTGTTGAGCTTGTTCCACGTCACTTTCCAGATCCTGATAGGGAAACTGAGGTTTCGAAAGACTTCGCGGCCCTGTTCCGACCCCGAGATGCTTGGACCTGCGGGCCGGGCTCTGGCGCGAGAAATCCGCGGGTTGCGGGCCGGCGGGGAGGGGCGGAGCGAGGGCAGAGGGTCTGCGCCAGGGTGCAGAGCACGCGTGCGGCTGCCAGCCCTGCGCTCCAAGCGCAGCGCCCTGGCTGCGGGCAAGGGTGGGCGGGAGGGGGCTACGGACTCCCGGGCCCGGCGCTCCAGTCCGTTTTTTGCTGCGGATCCCGGGAAGGGGGGCCGGCTCGGGGGTGGGACTGCAAAGGGGGGGATTCCCTCCCTCGTGCGAGCGGAGGACTGGCTCTTCTCCGGGTCGGGAGCTACGGCCCGGACGGAGGTGCGACGGAGAGCACGAGCACCGGGCGGCGAGCGAGGAGCGGACCGCCGAGCGGGGCCCTGGGGAGAGCGCGGGCCGGACCGAGCCGCCCCAGAGGACCGATGTGCCGGGTGGGGCGCTGGCCCCAGAGGGCGTGAGCCGCTGGCAGATTGAGCAACTTGGGAACCAGCGGGCGGAGCGCGGGAGAGCCCGGCGCCCAGGACAGTCCTGCGGCGGGCGGGTGAGCGGCCGCTCCCTCGCCCCTCCCGGGTCTGCCCCCGCCGCGGCTGGCAGAGCGGAGGTGAGTCCCCCCCTGAGGTGCCCTGTCCTCCTCCCTGGCGCCCCCTTCCCCAGGACCTGGGACGCTGCGGGCCCTTGCGTCGGGGCTCGGCCGAGCTGAGTGGCGGGGGCAGACAGCGAGAGGAAGAGGACTCTGGCCGCGCAGGAGGGAGAGGGCACCTCTTGGAGCCCCTCCTGCAAGCCCGGCTGCCCCCAGCCCGCGTCATCCTCCCAGCCAGGGGGCAGCCCCCTCCCGGCCGCTGCCTCGGGTTCTCCTCAACCCCGCAAACCCACTGATCGTCTTTACTCGCGGTTCTGAACGCCCCAAGTCCGCCAGCCATGTCCCCCACCACCCCTCATCCGGAGGCTTCGATTCCTGGTCTCGTCACCTCGGATTCCCCGAGTCCCGCGGTCCCTGGTTACCCGCACCCCAGTCCCGCAGCTCGGGCCCGGGTCCGACGTGGCAGGCGGCGTGCGGGGCGACCCCTTCCACTAGCGGTGGAGCGGCTCAGGGGCCGCAGGGGCGAGCTCCAGGGGTCGGATGGCGTTACTTGGTTGGGGAGAGGTGGGGGCTGCGTTTGCCCCGGGCTCCCAGGAGGGCAAGGGCGGGTTGGGTGTGCGCACTTGGGTGCAGGAGTTTTCTTATGAAATCAGCCTCTGGACTTGGAGAGCACGCTTGGATTTTGGGGGCAGTCAGGGGGACTTCAGGTCCGCCGCCCCTCTCCCTGCACCTGCCGGGCCTCTCCTGGATGGTGGGAGGGAAGAGTTTACTCGCTTGGAGCAGCGGTGAAGGAATGAGAAGCAGCCTCCTCGCTGCCCCTCGGTTTTGGGGGGACGAGCTGGGGCGGGGGGCGGGGGCAGAACCTGACCTAGCTCTGGCGACACTCTGATCCCGGACGGGTCGGACAGGCGCGTCCTTGGTTCCCCCTCTCTCAGCCCCCGCCCGGCAGTTCCTCTGTCCCCACCCGGGCAGCCCACTCTGCAGCCAAAACTCTCCACCCCCTTGCGAGGCTTGGGGAGGGCTAATGAGAAATGATGTGGATGGTTTACATTTTTGGGTCTGCGGCCCGCCCCAGACAGAATACCAATTTATCCTGATAGTGTTGCAGGCAAGAAGGTGAAAGGTATTCCAGCCCTCTAGGGGGACTGAGGCCCCGCCCTCACTCCGCCTCCAGCTGCGCCCCCTCCCTAGCTCCGGTCCTCCCCCCCCCCCACTCCCCGGCACGTGCGTCGTCTCTCTTCACTCTCCCGCCCTAGGTCAGCCTCTGTCTCCAGCCCCTTCCTCACCCCCTGAGTCTAGTCTCCAAACTAGGCCATGCCCCCATCCCTCCACCGCACGCCCCCGCACATACACAGCTCCTTGCCCCTTGCCCCACCCCCAGATCCCCAGTCCAGAGTGAGTAAACGGGCGGGTCATTGAGTAAGTAGGCTGTTACCGCAAGACCCTTCACCTCTCAGTGCCAGTAAAATGGGAAGAATTTTACTTTCCTCCCTGAGGAGTAAATGAGGGCCCAGCACGAAGCAGGTGGTGTAGGTTCATGATGAAGGCGAATCCCTCACTCCGACCCTGGCAGAGACAAACGGCCCTTCCTCGCCCCCTGGGTGCGCCCCCCGCCCCCCCACTCCCTGAGACCTTGATCGCTGCCGGCAGTTCCCATGACTGGCTCTGCCTGAGCAGAGTAACGGGCCTCAAAACAGCGAACTGTTTGATGTTTAGGGAGTGCCGTGTAGCCCGAGGGGCGAGGGAAATCGGACAGAGAGGAGTTAGTAGAAGTGAGGCTGCTGCTCAGAAGAAAGCCCTCAGCTCTGTCTCCTCACTCAGCCCTGGTCCGGGTGGTAGGGGTGTGTGTGTGTGTGTGTGTGCGCGCGCGCGCGCCCGCGCTCACTGCAAGTGTGTGGGGCATGGGGGTGCGCAGGGACCAGCTGGGGCTTGGTGTTGCAGGGTTTCTAGTCTGAGACCTACCCAGCTATGAAAATCAGGGTTCACATACATTTCGGAATCTCCGACCTTTAAAAACTTCAGGAGGTCTAGCCATACCGAGCCATCATTTCTGCCTATCAGCAGTCCACTGAGGTTGAACAGCACCTCCTCTCTTCCTGTGGGGCGTTCGCCCTTCGGACCCCCACCCACCCCCGCACGTACACACACATTCAGCTTCCTTCCTGTTTGTTGCTTGCAACCCTGGCATAACGAACTCTTCTGTCCTTTCCACAGTTGATGCTATATGCATTTTTTAAAGTGCTTGAAACACTTCCCATCTAGTGGTGGGTGACAGAGGCCAGTGTCGCTTGCTCCAGTGAAATTCAGATGTGGATCCTCCTCCCCATTTCCCAGTGGAGACCCTGGTTTGATGGTGATGCAGGTGGAAATGGGCCACGTAAGATCCTCAGTGGCCACACCTGGGTGGGCATGACAGGAGCTGGGCTAAAAGCTAAGATCTGGGAGGATGGGGGCGCTGGAGAATTTGGGGGAAAGTAGAGGAAGGGAGAGGAAGGGAGCTAACTTTTGCTGAGCTCTGACCCCAAAGTGTCAGACTCCATGCAGGGCAGACACACAGAGTGCAGAGATTCCTAGGAGACCTTTTCTGCACCAAGGACCCCAGGGGTACTGATCCCACAGGGAGACCAAAGAAAGAAAGTCTCAAAGACCCAGGATATTTTTAAAATTGATTTTTAGAGCGTGAGGAAGGGAGAGGGAGAGGGAGAAGGAGGGAAAGAGAAACATCTACTTGTTCCACTTATGCATGCATTCATTCTTTGTTTCTGTATTTGTCTTTTTAATTATTTATTTATTTATTTATTTATTTTTAGAGAGAGGGGAAAGGAGAGAGAAAGAAAGGGAGAGAAACATCAATGTGTGGTTGCCTCTTGCATACCCCTCACTGGGGACCTGGCCCACAACCTAGGCATGTGCCCTGACTGGGAATCGAACTGGCGACCCTTCGGTTCACAGGCCAGCACTCAGCCCACTGAGCCACACCAGCCAGGGCTATTGGTTGCTTCTTATCTGTGCCCTGACCCAAGATGGAACCCACAACCTTGGCCTATTGGGGCAGTAGTCTAACCAACTGAGCTACCTGGCCAGGGCCTCGCACACCCAGAATTTAACACCAGGTGTGTCTGCTGTGGTCTTTTCTTCCAGGGTCTGTACCTGCCTCAGGTCCTCAGACCTCAGTTTGAGAAATGCTGCAATTAAAGGTTAACCCCTCACTCCGAGTGACCACTGTGGGACCAAGGTGATCAACGATAGGAATAGATGCAAATATGGAAATTATCTAACAGTGCTCAGTGTTAAGATACATATCTAGAGGATGCAAAAACTGTTTCTATTGCTTCTTAGATGACCATTGGAATGCAGACACAAAATGAAGTCTTGGTCATAGAAAATACAACAAATATTATTGAGTTCTCACTCTGTGCCAGGCACATTCTAAGCAGTTTCATATATTGACTCATTTAAGCCGTAAAAAACAACAACCCTCTTGCAAATAAGGAAACTGAGGCTCAGACTAGCTAAGTGACTAGCCCAAGGTAACAGCCAATAAGCAGAAGAACCAAGATTTGAAGCCAGACAGTCTGACTCTGAAGTTTATACCCTTGACCACCACACTCTATGGCCAACCTCTGAGACTGTATCCTTGGGTCTGAAGACCCCAGTCTGATAAACCGAAGGTGATGGAAGTGTGCAGTGGGGGCTGGGGGAGGCAGGCGGGCTTTGGAAGGTCGCACAGGGAGTGCTGGAGGGGCAGGTAGGGGCTGGCAGCTGACAGGGCATTGGGGGCGGCTGGCCACAGCAGCAGGTGGGATTCATCAGCCTTGTGTAAACACTTCTCACAGGCAGCTTAACCACTTGAGTGTGTCTGGCCTTCAAAGCTGGTGGGAGGGGCCGAGGAGGGAGGTGCTAAGCTCTCCTGTGGGATAATGATTTATCTCCCAGGCAGGTGGGCTCCCCTGGGGCCTTCCTGCGCAGGCAAAGGGGGAGAGGGTAGGGGCAAGGGCTGGGAGGGACACTTCTACTCCAGCATTCAGATTTCTTATTTTGTAAGCCAGAAATGTGGCCAACTCTCAGAGCAAGCCTATGAAAATAGACGTAACTATCCCCATTTTATAGATGAGGAGACTGAGGTTCAGAGAGGCTAAGTGACTTGTCCAAAGGCCTCTCACCAGTGGATGAGAGGGTATGCTTCCCTGGCATCTGCAAAGCTTCTCGAAGGCTCCCTGTTCCCTCCTGTCCTTGGGTGGCGTGGGTGGGTGTGCGGCAACGCGTGGGCCTGTGTCTGCTGTGTGCTGGAAGTGTGTGTTCCTGCAAGTGTGCAATGGGTTTTTGTCCTCTGACTCCTAGGTTGGGCTCCAACTTCCCAGACACATTTTGTTGGGGAGGGACCAGCTCCCCCTGCCCCCAACACCAGGCCAACGGTCAGGAGACCTGGCTCTCACCGGGCTGGGGGATTATCCCCATTCTCTGTGTCTCTGCCCAGGGCTGCCTCTTTTATCCCCTCACAAAGGCCAGTCCCGCAGGGCCTGCTGTGTCAGAGTTTCTGTGGCTGGGGGGAAGCCTTATTTCCTTTCCTCCCGCCAAGCCCAGAGGGCCGCACAGAGACTGCCTGCTTGTCAGGGGCCCCTGTTCTGGCTCCAGGACAGGTGAAAGGCACAGGGGTGACTCAACACTGGGCAAGGAAAGCTGAGGGGCCACTCCCAGAAGGACAGAGAGCTCCTCTTCAAGAGACACGATGTTCCTGCAGCAGCATGAGGTCTGTAGGGCAGACCTAAAGAAAGACTTTTGGTTAGAACTGGCCAATGGTGGGCAGGGGGAGCCAGCTGGTCCCCAGTGTCCACCAGTTCAGTGCTGCGTGGGGCCACCAGGCTCCAGCTGCCTGGGTCGCCAGCTCTTGTCCCAGGGAGTTCTGCAAGATGGGAGAAGGGGCAGATTTCTCCTGTAGGGTTCCAGATGGGCACTTGTCATGTCCGAACATCCTGAATTCTCATAGGCTCCTGGGCGGGAGACTGCATGGGAGTGTAGGAGGCACAGGTTATAGGCCCCTTGGTACCCCAGAATTAACCCTTCTCTCTCCTCCCTCAACAGGTTGGGTTTTGGAGGTGTCCCTGCTGAAGTGACAAGTTCTCCCATGTGACAGACACTCCAGGTGTCTTTGAGGAAAGCTCTCTGGACCTCCTCATGGGCTGATGGAGAAGAGGGCTCCCCACACCCTTCTCTGCCTCCAGCTGAGATTATGGTGGATTTGGGACCCGGCCCGGGCCTGGGCCTCCTGCTGCTGACCCAGCCTCGGGGGCGTTAACAAGAGCCCTGTGCCATCCATAGCCCCAGAGACCACCCCTCCTACCAGGGGCCCGGACCTGGCGAGTGACTATGCGGCTTGGGCTGTGTGTGGTGGCCCTGGTTCTGAGCTGGATGCACCTCACTGCCAGCAGCCGGGGGACCAAGGGGAAGAGACAGAGGCGGAGTGAGTAATGAGCGGGGCTGAGTGTGGAGGGCCTCAGAGCCGTGGGCGGGGTAGCGGGGGGCGCCTGGGGGGCCATAGGGCTTTTGGTGGCTTCATTCTGTGATGGCCTTTGCCGATTTCTACTTGGATAGATTACTCCATAGATGATGCTGTTTGTAGATTATCCGGTTTGTGGATTAATTGGTTGAGATTGCGCGCTCTGTAGATTACTCACTTGGTCTATTTTCCCCTCGGTAGACTCTGCTTTCTAGATTAACCCTTCTCTTGTGAGGATCCAGTGTGTGGATTATGCCCTTCGACATGACACCAGCTGTGTGTGGTATCCATGGAGATGAGCCCTGGGTCCCAACCCCGAGGTGCTTGGTCCCCTCCGCCCTGATGGTTCAGGGCCCTTTCTTTCCGTGGTGGCTGAAGTGTACTCAACCCTTTGGGTCAGGAACTCCGCCCAGCTGGGTGGCAGGCCACAGCTTTCCCCGCCCAGATCAAGGGGCAGGCACGGTGGTGCTGGAAGATCCTGAGCATCTCCACTCCTGTGGCTTTTAGCCCTGCCTGGTGGGAATTGAGGAGTTGCACTGGGAGGTGAGGGGGAGGCAAGGGGCAGGAGTCAGGCGCTGCCCTCCTCCAGTCAGGACAACTTTGCTCTTTCCTCCTTTCTGTCAGATTCCACACAAGATATCATTGGCAGAAAGGGTTCTCAGAGCTTAAAATAAAACAAACCCATCATTGTACAGATGAGGAAACTGAGGCTACAATAGGGGAAGAGACGACAGGCCTAAGGACACACAGTCGGCATCAGAACCCAGGTCTCCTGCTTCCGGTGAGCCGAGTGGTCTTGAAAGCAGAGCTTGATAGAGTTCAACTTGAACCTGTCCCCACTGCCCTTGCTGTCCCTCACAGAGCGCTGTTCTAGGCGCTCCCAAGAGCAGGTCCTCTAGCCTCTGCTCCTGCTCTGCGTCTCCAGCGATGGGGGTTCCCTACCTGCCCCTTAAGTTGTGGGAGTGGCCACTGCACGTGAGAGACAGGAGTCAGGAGTGAGGTGGGGCCTGTGCGACAGACCTAGGGCTCGACCCCAAGGCCTGTCTTTCAGCATCCCCCATCAGAGGCATCCCGCCCATGGGCAGGCAGGTCCTTGGACGCCCGGCCTGGCCCTTCTTGCTTCCCTTCTGAGTCCGGCGGACTAAGGCTGCCAGGGAAAGTTGGAAGGTAGCGGACTTTGGTTGGGTCTCCACAGGAGTGGCCAAGGGCAGAACCCAGCCCAGGGACAGAAGCGCAGAGAACCGGCGAAGCTGAAAATCCCTGGCTTAACAGACAATTAGAGACGGTTAGGTTCAATCGGCAGTGAGGCCTCGCATTCCCTCCCACCTCCTCTATCACAGCCAGTGTTTTGGACTCTGCGGGCCAGAGGCGGTTTAGCAGTTCCCAGTGTCTCCTCTGTTTCTGCGATGAGAGCAGGAGTCTGAGTGCAGCCACTAACGCCCCTGCGACGTGCCCTAGTGATCGCGAGGCCCCGGACCTGGGCAGAGCCGCACACCCACCTGAACCAGGGGGCAGAAGACCTGTTGTTCTAAACTTTGTACTGAAAAAAAAAACAAAAAAACCAGTACTGGCCTGGCCATTAGAAAGGGCCTAGCCCCAGCCATGACCAATTGAAAACAGCAACTGTGACACTTTCGGTCCAGCCATATCCCACAGCCTGGGCAGCAGAAGCCCAGCTTTTATTACTAAGTGGCGTGAGGGACAGGCACTCCTGATGGTGAGATGGGAGGACCGGATAAGGTGAGGGGAAAGGCTTGGGGCGCAGTGAGGGTCCAAGAGGGATGGGTGCTCAGAGAGGACGGGGCGGCTGTTGCTAGGCAGCGCTGCTTACGGAACACCCGAGCGCCTGCAAGCGTCCTGGTCTAGGAACATAGTGAGGCTTGCATGAGACGATGTGTCACATGGAGCAAAACCTGTGTGCAAGGTCAAGCTTCGTATTGACTCCAGGAGGCTTGTCGTTGTCATGTAAGCGATGCGTGGACTGCTTTGCCCTGGGGTCCCCCGGGAAGTGGGGGAGGAAAGAAAGAGGAGCCAGACATCTGCATGTGGGTGCTCTGGCCTGCTGCCCACGCGGAGGGACGCTGGCGGACTGTGGGGCAGAGAGAGGCTTGCTGTGCATGTGAGCCTCAGGTCTGTCGGCTCTGTCCAGCACCCGGCAACCGTGTGACAGTGGGGCCGCCAGCAGCCACCTGATGTAGCTCTGATCTGGAGCCACACACCAGTGTTGGGGTATGAGTGATGGTCTCCCTGCATGGAGGGGCAGACGTTGAGCAGAGAATTCTCCAGTTATGAGTTACAAGCCCTGGTAGGGCGTCCTTCTGCTCCTCCTCTCACTGAGGACACATCCCAGCCCTGAGCCTCCTGCTCACTCCCCTTCGCCCCGTCCTGCCCCCTTTCCCACCTGGATGTCCTGTCCCCTTTCCCACCTGGATGTCCTGCCCAGCACAGGGCCCTCATTCCCTCACCATCCCACGCATTGAGGGCCCCTTCCTCTTGCTAGGACCCTTCCCCTATCAGATTCCTGGGCCTCTTCACTCAGTTCTGTCTCCATGAAGCCCCATTCCTTCCCTGACCTCTCCAGAAGATGGACCCCCCTTTTGTCCTTTCTCACCGCCCCGCTCCCCATTGGAGCTTTCATCCCCTCCTGCACTGGCCATCTGTCGAGTTCTTCTCCCCCTACTGGAGCCCCATTCATTCCTGGGGCCATTCCACAAACGTCCACGTGGAACCTGCAGAGCCTGGCTCTGGGTCATAGAAATGAACCTTGGGAAGTGTCTGGAGGAGGTGGAGGGGGGACAATTTCAATCTAGTGTCTCGATGCTACAATAGAATGAAAGGGGGGGCAGGGAGGGCCCAGAGTCAGCACCTCCTGAGCTGTGATTTTAGGGACCAGTCGGTGACCTCTGGCATGGGAGTGGGCAGTGGGTGAGGGTGAGCCGGCATGGCCACAGGTGTGGACTTGGGAGAGGAAAAGACTGTTCGCTCTGGAAGTGGGGGGCAGCTAGGCGTTGTAGATGGAGAAATGGTCTCTAAGAGGAGTTCTGGGGAACCCTAGGGTTCCCTAGGGGGACAGTGGGGGCAGCTGTGCTTGTATCTATCTCACACATGGAGGAGCTTTCCTATTAAAAACAAGGGTTGTGCTGCTGAAACAAACAGCCCGACACCTCTCAGGACAGAGCGTGGACCGCCGCCTGGGGCTGAGGGAGCGTCTCTGCTGCAGAGGCAGGCAGAGGTCAGGTGGTGGAGCGCTTTGTACTCACCAGGCCGAGGAGTCTGCACTTGACCTGACTTCAGCTACGGGTAACAAGGAGCCATTGACAGGCTTTAATCAGGGGAGCAGCAGGTCCAGCTACAGGACAGGGTGAGGGGAGGTGGCTTGAGGTGGGAGGCAAACAGGTCAGTTCAAAATGTATTTGAGCCCAGGTGAGAAAAAGGGAAGGTCTAAACCAAGCTCCCAGTCGAGTTAGAGAATGCTGGATCGTCCCAGGGAGGCATGCCGGATGGCACCAGGAGCAGACAGATCTGTCTCCTGGGAGAGTGGGAGGCCTGAGAAGGACCCTTGCCTACCCCCTCGCTGAAGCGCCTATTTCCTGTCACCCCCCACCCCCACCCACTTAACTCAGGCCTCTTACTGAACCAATGTCCAAGGTCATTCCTCCTCTGGGTCACTGCGAGTTCCTCTCCACCCCTCACTGACCTTCATCCAAGCCACCCGAGCCCCCATTCCTGTCCAGTCCCTCTCCCCACACTCTGTCAGACACTCAGCGAAGTCCGTTCGGATACCCGCCTCCCTGAGCCTCTGTCCCACTCACCGCATCCTCAGCCCTGCGTGCTGGGTGCCCCTCGTCCTTGCACTAGGTTCCCATTCAGAAATAAGACAGGTTCTGCCCTCCAGGGCTCTTTCACATGGGAAAAAGGACATTTAGAAATGATAACGATACGTGGTGATGTCTACTACGATGGATGCAATTGTCCGGGATGTGGGAACACAGTGACATATTCCATCCAGGTTTTGTAGGGGGGCAAGATTAGGAGAGACCTCCTGGGGGAGGAGACTTTAGCTTTGAGGCTTGAAGGAGTTAGTCAGCCTCTGGAGGAGGCATAGAGCGTCCCAGGCAGAGGGACCGACTTGCACAAAGGCAAGAGGTGTAAAGTAGTGTGATGTGTCCAGAGCAACAAAAATAGGTCCATATTGCTTAGGGACAGAGTTGAGAGATGAGGCAGGTGGGATCCGCTCGTGGAAGCTTTCTAGGAGAGGTGGAGGCGCTGAGCCTGAATTCTACAGGCATAGGAAGCTGTTGAGGGATTTTACCCAGGGGTGTGACGACCTCAGTTTTGGTTCTAGAAAGATGGGTCACTGGGGGAAGACACGCCATTCTTCAGGGAGGCAGGGGAGCTGATCATATGGACATCAACTTAAAGGGTTTTGGACAAAGATGAAGGAGGAGGAGAAGCAGCAGCAGAGAAACGGAGGAGGGCACAGCCTTGCCTCCCTGACCCAGGGACACAGGCTTCATGGGTGCTAGGGACAGAGTGGGGAGGGGGTGGTGGGAAGGGCAGAGCTGTGTTAGGGGGCTTGTGAAGAAGTTGGGAAGAAGGTGCCCCCCCCTCTGAGCCCCCCTCCACGGAGCCCACGTGCCCTCTGTGGGCAAGCCTGCTCCTCTGCATGCCCCTCCTGCCCCCTCATGGGCACAGGAGCTGGAGGGAGCCCATCCAACAGACTCTGACCGTGCCCTTCTGTGGTCCCTGCCCTTGCCAATAGAATAAAGCCCTCTTTTCAATTCTGTGCACACTCTGGGACGGTCAGTGCCTCGGAGCCTTTGCACAGGCCCTTCCTCCTGCCCGGCACGCCCTCTTCACCCAACCGGCTGGGGAAGGGAGTGCCCTCCATTGCTCCTCCATTCACCACAGTGCATAGCCAACCCTGTTTCCCACGTTCCTGGGTGGGTTTTTGTTGCTACACCTCTACACTCCCGGCTCCCAGCAGCTCTGGGCATGTGTTAGGTGTGCAATAAATGTCTACGGAATGAATGAGCTTTGGCTTTTCCCTTTGCATCATTATGCAACAGCCCCAACACACACAGAGCCCGGCATCCCCTGGCTCTCTGCCCCCTCCCTGCCCTCTCTTGCCTTGCTAAGCTGAGGACACCCTTTGGTTCCTACCCCCTTGATAAGCATCCTTTTCCTCATTCAACTGACCCCTGCCCGTCAATGAATGCCTCTCCTCGTTGCTGAGCCCCAAAACCTCATGGAGCTCAACTCCCTAATTCCTTGTCCCTCGCCCTGGCCTTAAGCCTCAAGGCCAGTTTTTCCACCTGAGCTCTATAACTTGACCCTCCCGTGTCCTTGGGCCTTCAGCCCGCCTCTGCGTCTTGAGATCACAGCCCCACTGCCAGCCGGTCTCCTCCCTCCCCCTCTCTGTGTTCTATGACCTGTCTGCCCCTCTCCTGGCTTTATCCCCACCTCCAGCCCTTCTGCTCACTCTTCATCCCACTGTGGTTTGGCTGTCCTCCCTACCACTCCACCAAAACTGCCCTTCTCAAGGCCACCTCCTACTGCAAGCCTCCTTAGATTCCCCTGCGAGCTCCCCAGCCAGCTCACCGACTGGGCCTCCTCCCAGCCCAGGTCCCTGCGGTCCCTCCCTTTTCACCTTGGCTTCCAGCCCCGCTCTCTCCCTCAGTCTCCTCCCACCTCTCCCGTGATTCCGACCCAGCTTCTCTCTGTGCCCCTCTTCCCCTGCTTGTCTGCTGACCCTGACGTGAGTGGTGCCCAGGCCTTGTCTTTGGCCGTCTTTTCCAGCTGCACAGCTCCTGCCCCCCGATGTCTTCCACTCCCAGGCTTCAACCCCAGTGACGGCTCCCAGGGTGGACCCCAGGTTCTCTCCCCTTCCCCAGCCAGCTTCTTGAAATAAGACGGCTCTCCTTCCCCACCTTCATTTCGCTCCTCAACCGCTGCCCCCTGCTCTCCATCCCCACTGGAGGCATCAGCAACCTGTTTGTTGCTGTTCTTTACACGACACCTCAGCAGCTTTTGGGGTGTGACGCCTCCCTCCTCTGTGGAACGTACCCTTCTCTTGGCTTCCATGACGCAATATGCTTTCAAGTGTGCCCTACCTGCCTGGTTGCCCCTTCTTGGCCTCTAAGCTAGCCCTTGTTTTCCTGTCCTTCTCTTAAATGTCTGACTCCTCCTCTCACTGTCTGTTCCCACTCTCCTCGTCACCTCATGGACCTGCGTGCCTTTGATGACTATTTACATTTTAAGGACTCCATGTCTCAACCTCCAGCCGAAGTTTTTCCCTTGAGAAACTAGACCACAGGTTCAACTGCCTCTGAGTCTCCCACAGGAACCGCAACTTCAACACATCTGAAGCCCTGCTACTCATTGTTTCCTTCCCCCAGCCTGCTCTTCCTCTCGTGGTCCCTCTCTTGGTGAAGAGCCGACAGCTACCTTGTCACCCAAGCCCAACACCCCCAAGCCCTCCTCAGCTTATGCTTCCCCCGACATCACCTAATCTCGCTGACTCTACCACCTGCGTACTTTACACGTGTCTCCTCCCTTCCATCCTCCTGGTTCAGCTCCATGTCTTCGGGCGTGGGAGTCCTCTGACCTCCAGTTTTGCCCTCCTGCGACCCTCGCTGCACACTACAGGGTGATCTTTCTAAAATGGAACCCAGACCATGTCCCCTATTTTAAAGCCCACAGTGATTCCTCATTACCTTTCAGATCCCCACGCGCACCACACTTTTTCTTGCCGTATCACTGATAGATCTGAAGGGAGACACACTCAGGGGATCTGTTGTTGGCTGAATGGGAGGTGGACAGCGGGGTTCTGAGAGGGCCTTTGCAAACCTGCTCTCCACAGAAGGGGTAAGGGAGCAATGAGTGAGGAGGGGAACCTGGCTGCGGAGGCTGCACGTGGGACCCCCAAATGACTTCAGGTATTGAAACCAAGGCAGCACCCTAAAGGGAGCAGTCATTTCAACAATGAATTAAATAAAAAACCTTGAGTAATAGAGGATTTAATGTACTTGAGGTAGAAATGATACCTAATATCTCTGGTGATGTAATTAATTTGAAATATAGCTGAAGAAAGGCCCCACGTGGAAAAGGAACCCCAAGGGCTCTCTCACAAGTCCAATACAGCATTTGAAGTACTTTTGCTCTCCTAATACCTAAACCAATAGGGACAATAGTGGCTTTTTACATTTCTTTTATTAATTAAAAAACATTGACTCCATACAAATAAATTTAAAAATCAGCCTAGTCACACTTTCAGTCTCCGTGTTGCCTCGTATTGTCCCCCCACTGGCCTTCTCGGACTCTGTGCCCTCTGCCTGGAACACGTACTGGCTGTGAAGCCTCTTTCAAGTGATTTAGCTTCTCCGTGTCCTCAGCAGTGAAAATGAGGATTCAAGAGAAAATGACAGTACCCTCTTCATGGGTTGTAGGCATTAAGTGAGTCAATGCTTGTAAGCCACAGAATGTCGACTTCCGGTAACATGCTGCTGTTACGATGATTATGATTCTGTCGTCATGGTTATTGTTGTGTTTGCTCTTCTCCTCTTCCCTTCTACACGTCTTCCTAAGTCCTCCTCCTCTCCTGTTGTGAAATCGGGGCTCATCCCCAGAGCAGACGCTGCTTCTCCTGGCCCTCCCAAGGGGGCATCCGCGTGTCCCTGTTTCTGGGGTGGGATGCCAGGCACACCAGTTGCAGGGTGACAGTCTGGGGGATGCGCTCCAGGTCTAGCCGACTCTGACCCTGAGTTCTGGTGCTGCAAGACCTCCTGCTGTCTCTGTTCTCCTTCCCCTGGCTCTCTGTCTCCAGCCCATAGCGATAGCTCCTCGCTGCCTGGCTCCTCCTTAGTGACTCATAAGTACTCTCCTTCCTTCTCAACTTGCTCTGCTTCCCATGGGCCTCTTTCAGGGACTGGACCCCCATTTGCCAGGTACCGTGGGCCTGAATACTAGGACTCTTCCCAGACTTCTCCTCTTATTGGTCACTGGGGCCTGCTGACTGTAGTCCCTCAGCATCTCTGAACCAGATTTCATTTAAGACTCTCTCATCTTTCCCACCTGGATGATCTGGTCAGCTTCTTTCCAAATGGTCCTTCAGTCTCTGGTCTTCACTCAGGCTGCCAATCAGAGCAGGTCTTGCTCCTGCTTAAAATTTGCCAGTGGCTCTCTATTGTCTAATCAGCTCTGAGAAAGTCCCCCAAAACCTCTGCAAAATGTTTGGGAAATGCAGCACTCTCTCTCCCCTTCTTGCCATAGAGAATCTTATTTAGACTTGTTGGATCCAGGGGTTCTTGGTCTTACCTGATACAGTGGCCCCTGAGAGCATTTAGGGGAATTGCGTTCCAGGGAATGCTCTTTGGGAAACGCTGCCTGGTAGGATCAAATGCAAGTTCCTTAGCATGATATAAAAGGCCCCTTAAGCCCTGGCTGGTGTAGCTCAGTGGATTGAGCGTGGGCTGCGAACCAAAGTATTGCAGGTTTGATTCCAAGTCAGGGCACATGCCTAGGTTGCAGGCCATGGCCAACAGCAACCGCACATTGATGTTTCTCTCTCTCTCTCTTTCTCTCTCCTTTCCCTCTCTAAAAATAAATAAATAAAATCTTAAAAAATAATAAAAGGCCCCTTAAAATAGGGCTCCTTATCTTTTACCACTCCCCTCCCTACTTCCCTGCACCTGAAATTACCTGCTATTCCTCTTGCGTTTTTTTTTTTGTTTGTTTGTTTTTTTACCTCTATAGTCCTGCTCCTAGAGAGCCATTGTCTCCACTTTCTAATGGAAAAACCTACCTATTCTTCAAGAGTTGGCTCAAATGACACCTCCTGTGTGACTCCTTCCCTCTCTTCTTTTTGGGTCCATTACTGCTTGGTCTTATCACTGTGTGGCTGTCAGCATTTGTTGGCAGGGCTGTCTGCACCACTGAAAGATTGCCGCAAGCTAGGTGTCTCTGCCTCCACTTCCCCGGCGCTCACACTGCACCCCGTACCTGGGAGGGGCTTGGTGAGTGCTAGCTGAACAAGTGGATGAGGAACCGAGATCAAAGGTCCGCTGTGGGCTGGTGCTCACACTGCCTCCAAGGACAATTTCCAGCCAGGGTTGCTCAACCTCAGCACCACTGACATTCCGAACCAGATCATTTGTTGTAGGGGCTGCCCACTGCACTGTAGGCTGTTTAGCGGCAGCTCTGGCTTCTCTCCCATAGATGCCAGCAGCAACCCCCTTCTCCAGCGTTACAATAAAATTGTCTCTAAACATTGCCAAATGTCCCCTGGGGAGCAGTATTGCCTCTGGTTGAAACCACTGCTCTAGACACAGGCATTCCAGTCATCTTCTTGTCTCTGGGCAGGTAATGTTTTTCTCTGATAGTTTTAACCTGTCATCCTTCTTGTCCTTAAAACTTTCCCAAGGATAAAAGACCCCCCTTCCTTTGGAGAAGGTAGGGGTGAGTTTGAGGAAGGGTGTGGCTTCAGTAGCTTCTCTGGGGACGGGGAAGCAAGCCTGGAAGGGGAGCCCGTGTCACACCCGGAGCTGTGTAGGCATTTCTTACGGATCCGAGCTCTCGCTCCAGGCATCTGCGCTGGTTCCCCTGGGAGAGGACCCTGGGGAGGTTTATAAAGCAGAGAGCTGCCAGCCTGGCCTGCGCTTTCTAAGAAGCACACTCACTCTGCAGCAGGAAAGTCCTGCCTACTCGCCCCACATCCTCGTGGGAGCCTGGGAAAGCCTGCGGTCCCTCCCACAGCCCTCTTCTCACCCGGGTTCCATCCTTGCAGTCAGTGCTGAGGGGAGCCAGGCCTGCGCCAAAGGCTGTGAGCTCTGCTCTGAGGTCAACGGCTGCCTCAAGTGCTCGCCCAAGCTGTTCATCCTGCTGGAGAGGAACGACATCCGCCAGGTGGGCATCTGCTTGCCGTCCTGCCCCCCTGGATACTTCGATGCCCGCAACCCCGACGTGAACAAGTGCATCAGTGAGTGTGGGCGGGGCTGGAGAAGGGCTCCAGAGACTCCGGACCCCGGGGAGGGTGCTTGGAACTGTTGGTGGCCAGCAAGAGGGGTAGGGGGGACTCCCAGAAGGGGAGATGAGGCTTCTGATTCCAGAATCCGGTTGTTGCTGGCCAGGCGTCTCCCCCGATACCCCATCCACGTTTCCAACTTCATGTGTCGGTATCAGAACTGCATCTCCTCCCGCCAGGCCTGCACCCACCTTTATCCCCACAGGTCAGTCTGTGTCTCAAGCCACCACCCAAGCCACAGACCTCAGGCCAGCCTCTTGTTGGTGCCATCCCCATCCATCCAATGACCGGAGCATGCCTGCACCGCCTCCTTTCTGTCCTCACGGCCATTGTCGTACCCAGGCTCCCCTCTTACCTCTCCTGGACAATCACAATAGCCTATTGATCTGCCCTCTGACCCTCCTCTGGTCCCCTTCGACCCGCCTTCACACCACAGCCAGGAAGATGCTTCTGAGACACACAACTATCCCATCACACTTCTGCTTAAAAACCTCCACTGGCTCCACGGACTGCAGAGAAATGCCGGCCCCGGCCAGCCTGCCCCTCCCCCTACCCCCCTTCCCATCTATCTTCTCACTCAGCTCCCTGCTCCCACACCAGCTCCGGTTCCAAGGGCTTCAAGGCCCGTGCTGTCACGCCTCCGTCCCATCTCAGCTGAGACATGCTGGGGGACACACGGTGAACACACTCCAATGAACAGAGCCAATCTTCCCTGCTATTTGTTCAGCGCCTTGGACTTTAGAATGCGTTTCCAGCTTGCATATCAGAAGGGAGATAGACCCTGAGTGACGGTTCTCTTTTTATAGCTGCTAACAGCGAGGCTGGAAGGGGTACGACGGAGCCCAGCTGGACCGACCCGGGTTGTGCTCGTAACTCGGCTACTTGTTCATTGTGTGGCTCTGGGCATGTCGTAACCTTTCCAAATCTCATCTTTAAAATGGGAGTACCAGTTCTTACCCCTGGGGTTTGTGTGGGAGGCATATGTAAAGCCCTTCCTGTCTGGCACTCAGTACATGGTAGGTGCATTGTTCTTACTGTATTCCACCTGCAACCAAACCCTGGAATCAGAACTCGAGAGAAGGAGGGAGGGAGGCGAAGCTGAGATAAGCAGCCACAGAGGCTAAACCGGTGCGGTGGGGAAGGGGAGCTTTCGAGGTTGGAGGTAGGCCCCTGAGGCTGCCCCCTTGGCCCTCAGGGTATTTGGGGTGGGGAGTTCCTGGCTGTGCCAGCTCCTGGGAAACTGGCTGCCCAGGCTCCAGGTGCCAGAGGCTGAGAGGAAGTTAGCCCCGCCCACAGTCTGAGAAGAGAGAGATTGTGAAAGACCCTGCCTGCTTCTGCGGCCCTGAACCCACCCTCCCCCACTTCTCCAGAGGCGGGAGAGCTGGCAGGAGGGCATGGGGAGGGACCCAGGAGTCCAACCGAGGCGATTCCTGGAACTCGCCTTGGCCTTGCAGAGGGAGAGGAATTTGCCCTGGGATTTCTTCCCCCTCCTCCAAGCTGATTCCTTCTGCCCCAGGCAGGAGGAGATCCAGGGTTTGGGTCCTGCGGATGCCCAGCGGTGAGGGAAGAGGGGACCACACAGCCGTGGTCAGGGGGTCGCTGTATCCCTCAGTTCAGCTCTGGCTGGGTGGTCCTCTGGGGGACCCTGCTCTCTCACCCCCACTAACCCCAGAGGGCCCTGCCCTCCTCCTCTGAAACTGACTGTCTTGGGCCTCACCTGGGGTTCCAGGGCCCGGGATTGGGTGTGGGTTGGGATTGGCTGATCCTGGTGAGTCCCAGGCAGCACTGGAGAGTGAGCACTTCGGCCTTCTCCCCTTGCCCCCGTCCTGTCCCAAGACCCCTCTCTGCAGTAATCCCAGCTCTGGACCACCGTCCTACTCTCGGTGTGGGTGGGCCTAGATGGTGGGCATTAGGATGGGGAGAAGGGGAAGAGTCCACTTCCAGGCTGAGCCAGAGGCCCCCACCCTGGTCCTCTCCGCAGAATGCAAGATCGAGCATTGTGAGGCCTGTTTCAGCCACAACTTCTGCACCAAGTGTCAGGAGAGCTTGTACCTGCACAAGGGCCGCTGCTACCTGAACTGTCCCGAGGGCTCCTCGGCGGCCAATGGCACCATGGAGTGCAGCAGCCCGGGTGAGTCACGTGGGTGCTGCGGGCAGGGGGTCCCCAGGAGGAGGGCGGGCCAGGGAGAGTGGGCTGGGGAACTGCCCAGAGAAACCTTACCCCATGACCATCCTCTGGGGTTTCTCTCAGAGCTCATCTGCCCTTTGGGCCTGAGCCCCAGGTAGAGAGCAGGTGGGAGGAGCTCTCCTGGGGCATTCTGGGCCGAGGAGGAGATGTGACCCACCCCCCCTCCGCCTTCCTTCTCTCCCTTCTGCCAGCTCAATGTGAAATGTCTGAGTGGTCCCCGTGGGGGCCGTGCTCCAAGAAGAAGAAGCTTTGTGGTTTCCGGAGGGGCTCCGAGGAGCGGACTCGAAGGGTCCTCCATGCCCCTGGGGGCGACCATGCTGTCTGTTCCGACACCAAAGAGATCCGGAGGTGCACGGTGCAGAGGACGCCCTGTCCCGAGGGTGAGCTTCAGCCTCAGTCTCCCCGGGGCTGGGGGGCAGGCACAGCCTCAAGGGATCTGGCCACCTCTGCTTCCTGCCTGTGGCCCAGGAGAGGGTCTCAGGCCAGGGCCGAGTGAGGCATCCCCAACTCAACACCCCATGCTGTGCAAACTAGTGCCAGGGCCTGGTGGAACTCTGTGTGGTGGGAGCTGGAAACATCTGGGTCCCTGTCCTTTCAGTTTCTCCGTTTCTTCTGAGCCAGTGGATGTTGGCTCTGGAAGGGCCCTCAGAGGTCAGATGAGGTTCATGGAAGACCACAGAGGTGTAGTGATTTGACCAAGGTCACTCAGCCTGCCGTTGGCAATGATGTGGCAGCTGGCTGCAGGGGGGTGGGGGTGGAGGGGGCCATCCTGCCTGTCCTAAAAACTGAACGGAATGTGTTGGCCCATTGGGATCCCAGGTCCGAGAAAGACATGAGGAAAAGGAGTGTGTGTGGTTTATCCAGGCATAGAGCATGAAAAGGCTCTTGGGACGCCCCCCTCATGGTGCAGGGTCCTCTGAAGTAGCTGATGGTCAGAGGAGGCCTTAAAGGGACCCTGACCGCCTAGTGGCAGCATTTCCAGCCTCCTCCTGGCCTCCCCCACCCAGCTTCCTCACCAGCCGCCTCCCAGGCCTGTGGCCATGCCTGGGGCCATGCCTGGGGCCTCCCTGCTTGTGGCAAGAGTTTCTGTGTTGAATCTTCCTGCTGTTGGGTTGCAGGGCAGAAGAGGAGGAAGGGAGGCCAGGGCCGGCGGGAGAACGCCAACAGGAACACCAGCAGGAAGGAGAGCAAGGAGGCGGGCACCGGCTCTCGAAGACGCAAGGGACAGCAGCAGCAGCAGCTACAAGGGACAGTGGGGCCACTCACATCTGCTGGGCCCACCTAGGGACATTCTTCAGCCTCCAGGCCCACGCAGAGAGTGGTAGAAGCTTTATTGAACTGGAGCCCGGGGTCAACATGAACACACACTCTGTACACGCACATGGACACACAGACACACATGCAGACCCCCATGTCCAAACATGCAATTGACATACATGCAAACATGTGTGCACACTTGTGTGCGTGCACACACTTGAGGCCACTGGAAAACACTTCTGCCCCTCAGCCATTACGGTGTGAACAGGGCAGGAGGGTGGCGGGGTCATCTCCACCCAGAAGAGGCCCAGCTCGACGCCTGCCGTGGATGTGGCCGAGAACGAGTTTCCCAGCATCCAGGCCCACTCTTTGCAGAGTGGAGCCTTCTGGAGGAGCCGGTAGGATGAGCCCAGAGTGGCAGGCAGGACCCAAAGCGTGAGGACTGGTCCACTTTCCAGCTTGATAGTCGTTGCACATCCATGACCCACGCCAGGATGGCCTTGACTCTGAAAACTGCTTAAAGGTTTATTTCAAATTAAAAACAAAAAGTAAATGACCACAGTAGCCCCAGACACCACATTCTTTTTCAGGGTACAGGGATTGGCGGGGTATGCCTGGGAATGGGAAGGGACAGGGCTGGATTTTAAGAGGACCCCCCCATACTGGCCTCCCAGACAGAGCAGGAAGAAAACTTTGGGGATACTCATGGTGGTGCAACTTCTCTATGTCCCTGGTACCCAGAGTGTGGTCTGGGTCACCGCTGACATCATCACTGAGCAGCTTGTTACAGATGAGAAGCTCAGGTCCCATCCCAGGCCTGACGAACCAGAGTCTGCATTTTAAAAGGGTTCCAGGTGACTGGAGTGCACAGTCAAGTCTGAGAAGCATCGAGCTAATTACCTCTAAGGATGAAGGAATTCTGGTCAGCTACAGAGGAAGACTTTCCGCCTGGGAGAGGTGGAATCTCTCTTCCGAAGGGCTGCAGTGGCACCACTAGGGGAAGGGCGTGCTCGGGCTCTCTGAGACGGCTGGGGACAGTGGGCCCATGGGCAGAACTGTGGACCTCTCGTGGCATTGGGAATGTCCACTGGCAGCCATCCATGCACCAAGCTCTAGACGAAGTGTTAGGTTTCTGGAGGGGAACCAAACAGGGCCTTGGGCTTGTGGAGCTTAGAGGTCGGTGGGGGTCATAGGTGAGAATCATGTATACGCATCCGAATACATGTCTAATTCCAAGCGGGCGGAGTTAAGGACAGGCTGCCACTGGCACATACGCGCAGCTGTGAAGGTAAATAAAAGTGATGACTGTAAAAGGCTTTATCTCAGGGAGATTTATCACCTGCTTTTCAGAGCAGGCGATGGCTGAGCCAAGCTCAGGACGAGTAGAAGGAGTGAAGAGAAAGAGAAGGACCGGCATTCCAGACCAATGCTGTCCAGTGGTAACACAACACGATCCAAAGATGTAATTTAAGTTTTTCTAGTGGCCACATTTAAAGGGTAAAAAGAAACCGGTGAAATTAATTTTGATTATATCTTCTATTCGGCGAAATATATAGAAACTGTTACCTTTTTCACATGTGCTGAATACAAAAAATTATTAGTGAGATCTTTTACATTTTTTCACACTAAGCCTTCGACATGTAATTTTATAGCATATCTTATTTTAGACACTGAATTCTCACCAGAAAGGACTGTGATATATTTACACTTGATCTTAGCCAAAAGGCCGAGAAGAGATAGTTGAGCCACATTTAGATTTCATAAAAATTAAAGTTGAAAAGTAGATTTACATACTCAAGTTCTTTCAAGAATAGTTAAGTCTGCCAATATTGAATGCTTTTACATTTTAAATTTAATTAATTAAAGTTAAGTAACATTAACAATTCAGTCTTTCAGTTGCATAGCCACGCTTCAGGTGTTCACCAGGCACGTGCGGCTGGTGAGGGCCACTGTGTTGGATAGCACGGTTCCGCACGGAGGGCGCAGCCCAGGCGGGTGTCCTGTGGTGGCCGGAACTGGTTGTTCAAGGCGCTGAAAGAAGGCCAATACGGCTAGAAGGCCTAGGGCAAGTGAGGCGAGATCATCTCAGAAAGGCCACCTGGAGCTGGGTCTCTATTCTCAGAGCCAGGGGAAGCTGCAGGAAGCTGCCGAAGGGCTTTTAGTTACAGGCCAGCACAACCAACCAGAGTTGTGCCTTGCCAAGGTCACATGGGCTGAGGTGTGGGAGACCGATGGGAGGGAAGCTGCTTAGGAAGCTGTTCTGTGACCGAGGTGACAAGAGTTGGAGGCTCGGACTAGGGTGTGGCAGTGGAACTGGAGAGAAGCAGACAAAGTCAAAAGGTATTTGGAGGATAAAGTCGGCACAGTTTGGTGATAAACTGGATAGGGAAGAAGGGAGAGAGGGAAAGGGAGGGGTCAAGGACAATGCCCCCGTGTCTGGCTCGAACACCCAGGCAGATGACGGTGCTGTGCTCTGCGGTGGGGAACCCATGCAGAAAAGCGCGTTGGGAGGAGGAGGGAGAACATCACTTCGATTTTGACCCTTTGAGTTTGAGGTGCCTCTGAGATGGCCTGGTGAGTCGCCACTCTGTGCACACAGTACAGGTCTGCAGTGCACAGGGGACGTCTGAGCTGGAATATAAATGGGGGTAGAGAAGGCCATCGAGGCTGTGGGTCTGGAAGAGGTTGCCTGAGAGAGTGCTGGGTGACCAAGAGTTCAGGACTCAGGTCTGTGGCCCTGCAAGTACGAAGATCAGATCATGGAGGATCAGTCGACCAAGGAGTCAGAGGAGGAGCAGGCAAGAGGGAAACCAGGGCAATGCCGTGTCCCGGAAGCCAGCACGCGGGAAGGGAGACGGAGAGGCCCAAAGGCTGCTGAGACACCAAGTAAATGAGGACTGGAAACTGACCACTGGACTTTCAACGTGTGTGCCAGTAGTGACCTTAGCAGGAGCTGTTTGAGGAAGTTGATAGAGGTAGAAATCAGTGCAACTCCTCCAGGAAGTTTAGCTGAGAAAAGGAGAGAAATAAGTCAGGAGCTAGAAAGAGACATGGGGTCGAGGGAGCGTCCTTTCCTTTTTTTCTTTTTTTTTAGGTGGGAATGACTTAAAAATGTTAAAAACCTGCTGGGAAGGGTCCAGTTAAGGGGAAGAGAGTGAATACAAAGGAGAGAGAAGCTGGGAGTCGGTAGCGGGAGGCTCTGGGGGAGGGACAGCTGTACGGGGAGTAAGGAGAGAGTGGTAGACGGGTGGGAAGGCTGGGAGTTTGGAAGGTGGGGCACCTCGGGTATGTCCTCCTTACACTCTGTGAGCATGGCATATCTGGGAGCCCCTTCACTGCTGGTTGGGAGCCGGGGTGGTCAGGGCTGCCCTGGGCCAGCTGTGCCTCTCCCCCAGCCCCTCCCCTTGCCTCCTTTCCCGGGCCGTGATTCTGTCTTTGCCAGTCTCTCTGGCCCTCTCAGTCTTCCAGCTCCGGGTTTGGTCTCTCCGCCTTTGCCCCTCTGTGTCTCTGATGCCGTCCCCTCCTCCGTCTCTCTTCCCATCTCCCTGTCTTTCTCCGTTCTACGTGGGCCTCTGATTCTATGCGTGAGTCCCATTGTTTCTCTCTGATTTCCTGCCTCTCTTCTGGGTATCTGTCCTCGGTCCCTGCGTGTCTCGGTTGTCTCTGGCTCTGATTTGTCCCAATCTCCCAGACCCTCAGGTCCTCGTTCCTCAAAGTGTGGCCTTGGATCAGCAGCCTCGGTCTCATCCTAGAGCTTGTTAAAAATGCAGAATCTCAGACCCCTCCCAGACTGAAAGGATCTGAGTCTGCCCCATAACAGATGACCCCCCCAGGCAATTCATGCACACGTTAAACATTTGAGGAGTGTTGCCTTTGGCTTTCCTCTAAAACAACATCCAAATAAAAATCCAGAGCTTTAGCAATATGTGCCGCTGATCTAGACCCTTCTGTATCTTCTGCACCAGCTTGGTGATGCTCTGAGGCACTCAACTTCCCTGCATCACCTCCTTGAGTGTCCTAAAGCTGTTCCTGGAGCTCTAGGCAGCTGAGGGAGGGAACATAATAAGCTCCCACATCTGCAGAAGTACTGGTGGGAGGAAATTCTCCTGGTCCTGAGGCACTGGGTGCTCCCAGGTGCAATCCATCCCTGAAAACATTAGCCCCACCTGGACCTACTTCTGTCTCACTCTGCCCTTTCAAGAGCAGAACTACCGTGCCCTGGCCGATGTGACTCAGTGGCTGAGCAGCAGTCTCTGAACCAGAACATTGCAGGTTCGTATCCCCGGTCAGGGCATGTGGCTTGTTTGTGGACCAGGTCTCCAGCCAACGGATCGATGTTTCTCTCCTTCTCTTTCTCCCTCCCTTGCCCTCTCTCTGAAAAGAAATAAAATCTTTTTTAAAAACAGAGTAAGAATATTTTTTGAGCAGGAGTTGTGGTGTGGGTTTCAAGATGGCGGACAGTTACCCACTCACAGCCCTAGAAGCAGCCCACCTGAGGCCGGAGACCATAAGGACGGATCAGAAGTCATGCATGATTTTCAGAGTGAGTGGGGGTGCTGGAGAGAGGGAATCATGTCACGGTTCCTGCCCTGGCTGGGTAGCTCAGTTGGTTAGAGCATCATCCCGATATGCCAAGGTTGCAGGTTTGATTCCCAGTCAGAGCACATACGAGAAGAAACCAGTGAATGCGTAAATAAGTGGAACAACAAATTGACATTTCTCTTTCTCTCTCTCCCTTCCCCACCACCTCTCTAAAATCAATAAATAAAAAATTTTAAAAAATATTCCTAACGCTGCTCCCAAGGTTTAGGCAACAGCAGCACATGGTTTGTTTGCGACTGTTATCTGCCCACATGTTCTTTCAGAAAATGGTAGCTTTTTCCTCTACAGGGCCACAGACTTGTCCAGATTAACACACTTCTGACCACTTCGCCCGGTGCCAGCTCGGCATGTTTCAGACCACGTCTCCGGAGAGTTTGTTTTCCATTTCAGTGTTCTGGGTGATCAGGTTGTGTTTCCTGGGTCTGTTTTCCTTTAAGTGTGTTCCCCCACTCTGGTTTGTTTGGTTTGGTTTGGTTCAGCAAGACTAGGAGGGAATTTAGGAAAAGGGTCAGCTTCCTGGGCCCTGAGTCAGGCCCCGGACACAGAGCCGGTGATCTAGGTGCTGGCTTCCTTGCCCCTGACCCTTCCAGTGGCGGGCCAGACTCGACTGAAGCTGAGAACAGGCGGAAACCTTGCTGAAAGGTGGGAGAGAAGGAAGAGAAGACCAGAGAGGACGGGTTCCATTTTGAAGGGTTAAGTGGATTCGTCGGGAACAGCCTGGAGGCCTGTCCGGCTGGGGAGAGAGAGCAGAACAAAAGCCTAGTGTAGGGAGGAGAGGTCTGGAGATCAGATGCCTCAGGGGCTGCCGAGACCGAGCATACCACAGTCGGGCGCACCTGTTTGGTGTAGTCAACCTCCTGGCTCTCCTGAGAGAGAGCCGACACAGGGCAAAGAATAAACAGGCTTTGGCTGGAGGCTTCGTTGCGGCTCCTGCAGCACCACAGAGACTCGGATGAGCGGCCAACGAAGGAGGTGGTGG